CATCCCTACAAAGCCGGGACGGAGCACGCCGGGTTTTCACCGGACCGGGCTCTCACATCACCAAGCGCGAAGCGCCGTGAGGTGTTTGGCGAGTCGCATGAAGGGTGCGCTGCATCCTGCTAAGAATGTTTGGCATCTTGTGCTTACTTCCTTGCGTACGGATGACAGCTGCGTATGACTTAATTTATTTTCTGGTGCTTTCACTTCCAGAGACAGTTGTAAGCACTGTGTATCTGCCTCGAGGATGCTTGACCATTTTAACGCAACGTGGTGCGATCATCCCCCTTGCGCGGAGTGAGGTTCTCCACCCCGCACAACATGATCTACTCGACCACCATTATGGTTACCGCCAAAGAAAAAAACAGAGGCAAAAAAACAAACCGGTAACCTGGTTGCCGAGTTCACGAAGTGAATTGGCTTGTTTTACAACGTCGTTGCCAAGCGACGAAAACCCAACCCCGATGGCAAACACCGGGGGGGGGGGCTTGGGACATGTGTTGTGGTGGTGGATGTGGTGGTTGTTGCTAATGTTGAGTGGTGTAGTGTTGGTAGCCGTCGTTTTGGAGTTGGTGTAGTGTTGGAGTTGGGCATGTTGGACGTGTCTGTGGCGTTGAAGTTCATGTTGTTGGTGGTTGTAGCTGTTGGTGTTGGTGTTGTTTCGGGTGGTATCGTCACGATGGAATTTATGTCGACCTCGGCGTTTTTGGTGATATTGGGTGCTTCAGTTCCTGCTGATCAGCAGCTTTTCTGCATTTTCGGTGCTTGCACGGTGTCGCTCCTGCTCTTCGTCTCTGGCATAGGATGCCAACGTTTTTTATCATGCCGCGTTTTCCAACACCCAAGCAAACAGCAGTCAGTGGTGCCCTCCACTTTTTCTCTCCTCACCACGAGGAGAGGCAAGACATTCTTGATTATCTTCAATTGGTTTTATTCTCTTTTTTTGTTGTGGGGGCACCTTTACATTGAAACATGTCTCATCTCCCCAACAACGTCCTAGTAATAGGAAAAGTTCCTCTTTTCCCCTTATTTTCACATATTTTGTTGCATTTGCTCATGTGTTTTTTGACGATTATCTTTGACGAGGGATAACAAGGGGTCACACACGTCCCCGACGTCTGTCCAGAGGACGACTTGTCCTCCAATAACCCAATTATTTATGAGAATATGTTAAATGACGTACAAGAAAGATTAGATTATCTCGATCAATTTGGTTCCTCTTTTCACACGTTTTATTTTGTTGTTGTTGTCAAGGATCGGGAGGAGGAGTCCGACGCGGCGAGGGAGAAGTTCTTCGTGCCGGAGAGTGATCACCTCACCCTCCTCAACGTCTTCCAGCAGTGGAAGCTCAACAACTTCGGCTCCCAGTGGTGCACCGACCACTTTATTCACGTCAAGGGGCTGCGAAAAGCGCGGGAGGTTCATGCGCAGGTCAGGGTTGTTGCTTCGCAAGCAACAATCATCTTAGTTTGGTACCCCCCGTCCCCACATTTCTCGCCGCCCCAGAACGGCACATCCATTCGGAGACTTGCTTGTCAGTACAATTTCGGAACTCATAGTGTACCCCCCCCCCCCCCCCGGGGTTTGGCCACCGGGTTGGGGTTTTCTCCCTTGGGAACCACCTTTTAAAAAAAACCCAGTTCCTTTGTGGACTCCGGAAACAAGGTAACGTTTTTTTTTTTTTTCCCCCGGTTTTTTTTTGG